GCCTCTGGCCACAGAGCCCACCATGAGCATCAAAGAGGCTTGTCACCGCGCCAGGGCCACTGGTCACCATGCCAGGGCCACTGGTCCATTCAGCTGCCGTGTCTCCTGCCCCGATAGCACCTCAACACGGGGCTAGAGGACTGGGACAAGGCAGCATCTGTTCCCCCTGCACTGTGTCATGTCCATGGATAGGGTGCTGTGTCCCCAGTTCTCACTCCATGAGGCCACATCCCCTGGAGTCTTCCTATAGTGCCAGATCCCTCACAGTGCCACAGGTCCCCTGCTACCACTCCATGATGTTAGTTTCCCTGTGCCAGCCCACAGAATCAGGTTCCCTGGTGTCACCCCACTTCCTGCAGTGCCAGGTCTCTCATTTCTCACCCCTCCCCTGTACATATGACCAACTCCAGCAGGAAGTGCCCCCACGTGCCCTAATGCCCAGTCAGGGGTCATGGGAAGCCATAAGGAACCCCCAAAGTAGTAGGGGGGGCTGAATGGCAATCCTCCATAGAGGGGCTGTATGGAAAACCTGTGGGAGGGGTGAGAGGGTCACTGTTGAAACTCCTTGCTGAGGGATCTCAGGGGTCCCCAGATCAAAGGAGTCAGAGTGGGAGAAGCCCAGATGGTGGGATTGGGGTGGCACAAAGACACATCCCCCCAACGGGGGAAAACATAAGGAGTCTCTGTGGAAAGTCCTAAGGCACGTTTGGGGTCTCCATAGCAAGAACAGCAATGGGGGTGTGATGGGTGGGTGCAAGAGGAACCCCAGCCCAGCACCAATACGTGGAACCCCAAATTGGAGAGGCAAGAGGCAGAATCCCTAGGAGGAACCTCAGCTGTGGGGGAGGACAAGGGGTTCTCCGTAGGTAACCAGAGGTGGAGCCAGAGGGACAGGCAGCCTAGGGGGTTGGAGGGTAGGGGGAGGGGGACTGCACGGCCCCTGGCTGCCCAGCCCCGCGCCGCTGGCGGCTGCTATTTTGATGAGCGACGCCGGGGGGGCCTTGGGAGCGCCGGGCTTGGGCACAAAGAGCCTTTATGTGGGAGCACTGGGGCTCCCTGCCGGCTCTGACACACAGCCGGCACCCTGCCACGGCCCGGCCGGCACAGCGGGCACCCCGTGCGCACAGGGGCACCCCCACCCTCCTCCCCGAGAGCAGCGTGAGGGCACCTCGGTAAGGGGGACACCACGCACCCGCTGGCACTGGTGTCCCTGTGAACCAGCAGTGAGGCAGGACAGGGGCTCCAACTCCCCTCTCTCCTGTGGGAAACCACACCGGGACCATCCCCAATGGCACTGCCCACCCACCGCCGATGCTGGCACTCCTCGGGGTGCCACCGTTGTGTGCCAGCACTGTGGGCTCCGGTGATGCCCCAGTGTGCCACAATGAGATGGCCCAGTGTGTTCATGGCAAGGCCACAGCGAGATGTGCCCGTGAGCCACATCCATCCTGGAGAGGCCATGGAGCACCGGCAGGAGGGTTAAAGGAAGCCGACGCTGCCGGGATCCCGCTGCAGTTCCCTTTCCTCCTCCTGCCCCCGCAGCTATTTTTAGGGCCCCGGCAGTGGCCGGGGCCAATGGCTTCACAGCCCTGGCCACCCACTTGCTGGCAATGGGTGGGATCGCAGCACCAGGGATTCCCAGTGGTTCTTGTCGGGGTGCTTGTCACCCACCGTGGCATCCCTATGATGGGCTTTGTGACGCTGTGTGGTCCCAACCTGTGGCACAGCCATGTGGCATCCACAAGCCCCTCACTGATCAGTGGGAAACACCAGTCACAGACACCCCTTGGCCAGGCACCCATACCACGATGCCAGCTGCAGAACCCTGTCAACCACCCTGGTGCCCTGACATGCCCCCAAGTCCTGTGGCACCACATGTTCTCCCAGTGCTTTCCCCTGGTGCTGCTCGCCAGCCCAGCTTCGTGGTGGGGAGCCGGTGCCTACAGCCATGCTGTGCCCCTGTGGTTGGGAAACCACATTTGCCCCTGTCCACAGGGAAGGACGGCAATGCCGCCATGGAGGCTGTGTGCCTGGCACCTGCACATGGCACCAGCACACAGCAGCCCCAGGCCAGGGCAGGCCAGCTCGCGGTTCTCCCACAGACTCTCGGGGCACAGAAAAGCTTTGAGCTGGGGTGCCGTCACCGCCACCCCACAACCACATCAAGGTCTAGGTGCTGGCACAGGCAGCAGGCCTCAAGCAGAGCCAGGGGCATGCCCCAGGAGCTCCCCGGGAGCATCCCGGCACACACCACACTGCCAACCCACCAAAGTGCCAGTGAGGCCTCAGGTATAGAGGGGGCTGGGGTGCACTGCTGGGCAGAGGGGGAAGCATTCCAGGATGCCAGGGCTGTCAGCACTCACCCATGTCCTGGCACCAGCCAGGAGCCACAGGAGTCCCGTGGTGTGACCCAAGGGCACAGAGCTCTCCTCTTCCCCCAGGTTGGGGACCCCCCAGACATGAAGGTGGGGGCGAGGGACCCCCAGTCCCATGGGGATGCTCAGAGACCCCAAGAGTGTGGGGTGGAGGCCAGGCCCCCCATCTCACAGACCCTCATCGTGGCAAGAGTGGGTGTCACAGCCCCCCTGGAGCCAGTCCAGTGTCCCTTCCATGCCCAGGGACCCCCAGTCCCTCCAATAACCCCCAGTCTGTTGGTCTCTGGTCCCCCGGGACCCCAGGCTAGAGCAGGTGCCATTCCCCTGGTGCCCTGTCACTCAAAAGTGCCAGTGTCCCCCTATGCCACTCACATCTCCTTGTGTCTGTGTGCCCCCAGCATCCACTGCCCAGAGCTGCCCCAGTCCCTCCGTACCCAGTCCCCCAAATTCCCAGAGTATGGGTGACCCCCATGTCCACTGTGTCCTCCCAGGTGTGACCCTTCTTCTGCCTTCTGCCCTCTGGGTGCCAGTGTCCTCTCGGTGCTCCCCCCGTGCTCCGCAAGGCTGGATCCCTTCTGGTGACCCCCAACTGTTCCCCCTGCCAGTGCTCCCCCGGTGCCCCCCCTGACCTCGGTATGTCTCCCAGTGCTCTTCCCGGTCCCCGGTCAGTCCTTCCCTGGACACCCCATCTTTGTCCCTCGGTACCCCACCAGTGCTCCCCTGAATCCCCTCCAGTGACCCCCACCATGACAGCCCAGTGTCCCCCTGGTACCTCATTGGTGCTCCCCCAAACCCTCCCGGCTGCTCGCCCAGGACCCCCCCGTCCGGCACTCCTCCGGCGTCCGTCCTGCTCTCCTCGGATTCCCCCCCGATGCCCCTCCGGTGCCCCCCCCGAACACCCTATCCATGGCCCCGGATCTCCCCCGGTGCCCCCGCCCCGTGCCTCTCCCGCTCCGCCCCCGGGAATACACCAATGCTCCCCGGCACCGCACCGCTGTTACCCCAAACTCCCCGCTGCTGCTTCCACGGATCCCCCCAGGATCCCCCCCGGTCCTCCCCCGTCACTCTCTCTACTCGTGCCTCCGCGGCTCCCCCGGCCCCGCGCCGGTCCCTCCCGGTGTCCCCCCGATCACCGCCGGTGGCCGCCCCCGGCTCTCGCCCTGTACCCTCCCGCGGTCCTCGGGTGTCCCCCGGCCCCCCGCGCTCCCCCGTGCCCGCAGCCCACTCACAGCAGGCAGAGCGCGTAGGCCCCCGCCACGCTCTCGCTGTCCCGCACCAGGAAGCTGCCGTCCCGCCCGGCCCGCGCCAGCTGCTCCTCGGCCGCCGCCCGGCTCAGGTCCCGGTGGTACCAGGGGGCACCGGGGCCGTGCCGCCAGCGCCCGCCGCGCCCCCCGCGCCCGCCATGCTCCGCCGCCGGGGCCGCGCCGCGGGGCCGCGCTCCGACGGGGGCGGGGGGAACCGGCAGGGCGGGCACCGGGGAGGCGGGGAGACGCGGGGAGACGGCGACATGGGGGGACGGGAGGGGGCACAGGAGGGATAGGAGCACTGGGGGGGACGCAGGGGGCCATGGACGAGGTACCCGGGGGGGCCACAGGGGAGATCCGGGGGTGGCCACCGGGCGTGACCGGGGGAGGCTTCGGCAGGGCGAGCGCACGAGGCCGGGGAGATGTGGAGACACGAGCAGGGTGTCCGGGGGGCACCGGAGGGGATCGGGAGGACCCCAGAGAGGCAGTAGCGGGGAGTCTGGGGGAACAGCGGTGCGGTGCCGGGGGAGCATTGGTGGGGTCTCGGGGGGCGGAGCGGCAGAGGCACGGGGCGGGGGCACCGGGGGAGAGCCGGGGCCATGGGTAGGGCGTTCGGGGAGGCACCGGAGGGGGGGCATCGGTGGGGGGCGGTGTCCCACTAAAGGGCAGTGGCACCGAGGGGCGTAGAACACCGGGGAGTGGGCAGCACCAAGGGAAGGATGGGGAGCATCGGGAGGTGCACCGGAGAGAGCACAGTCACGGGGGGATGGAGAGCACCATGAGGGAAACAACAGGGAAGGGGAGCACCGGCGGTATGAGGGCACCGGGGAGCCGCGGTGGGGCAGGACCAGGGCCATGGGGTCACAAAGTGGGGGTGCGGCCCGGTTTGGCACCAGGACCAGGGTCATCTCCATGGCCCGGAGGTCGGGAAGGCGGCACTCCACAGCTGGGAACACGGGCCATGTGGGGAAGGGGACCCCCGGGGTGGGCTTCAGGCTGGTGGGACCCCCTGGACAGCTATGCCCCTACCTTAGGTCCCCAGGATGTCCTCCCTCTTCTCATCATTTCCCCAGTCCCAGCCTGCGCACCCCGGGGTGCCGGTGACCCCCACAGGCCTGGAGCTGTGGCAGATGCTGGGACACATTCAGAGATCCCATCCCCCTGGGCCCCAGTGGCAGGGAGCCCTGTGCCCACTGCTTTGCCAGTTGCAGTGGTTTTGGGTGGAAATGCCAGGCCACCAGGTGGGTTGTTACAGATAAATGGGGGTGATGCCTCACGTTGTTCCCCCAAGAGAAGAAGGATCAGATGCCCCATGTCCCTCAGCCATCCTACTGCCTCCCACCGATCGGACCCCTCAGCTCCACAGCACCCCAACACCAAGCAGGGCAGGAGTATTTATTCATCGTCCACATGCCTGGGGGGGACACAGCTTGGGGACATCCCATGGGGGGGCACAGCTTGGGCACCCCCCTGACCACTCTCTGCCGGCTCCTGCCTGCAGCCTCTCCTGCTCAGAGCAGAGCCAGGAGTGTGGGGGGCAGCAGGGCCAGCAGGACAGGGAGTGGGGGGCTTGGGAGGGCATTGCCACGGGCATAATACTGGGCGACGGCAATGTTGGGGTTCCCCTGTGCGGGGTCAAACCACATCTGGATGCAGCGGCCACTGCCACGGTGGTGGGATGTGTAGAGGTAGGAGCCAGACCAGATCTGCTCGCAGAGCGCAGCCGCCGTCGGGAACACAAACTTGAACTTCTGGCACATGGCGCCCTGGGGACACCGGTTGGTGCCTGGGGTGGACAGGGGGTGAAGTGGGTGAAGGGCTTTGGGAAGGAGGGGGGGTGTCATTCCCCTCTGCATGGTATTGGGGTCCAGATGGGTCCCACTGGCTTTATTGGGGGAGGGGGCGTTGATCTCAGGGTGGCACAGGGGCCGCAACCCCATCACCCTGCACCCCATGAGGACCCTCACCCCTGCCCCCCCGACCTACTCACAGGCACAGGGACCCCCATCAGGTTGCTAGCAACCCCCATCACCCCCACCCCTTGGGGATCCTCACCCCCATACCGACTCACAGCCACCAGGAATGGGAGAGCCACAGTGGGGTCCAGCTACTATGGTGGACCTTGCATCCCCCTATCACCTGAGGTCCAGTTCCAGCCCTTGTGCCAGTTGGTCTTGCAGGTGACAGCATCCTGGCAATCCTCCCACCACTGTTCACAGTCCTCCCGGCACAGCGGCACGTTCCGGATCCGCTCCTTTCGCCAGCTGTTGTCTGCCTGCAGGGCTCCCAGTTCACCCCAGTTCACCCCAGGGGTCCCAGCGAGTGGGTGAGGGGGGGGTCTGCACTCACCTGGTCAATCCATGGCCCCAGGTTGGGGGAACACTCGTACAGACACGTGTCCTGGATGAAGTGGCGTTTGCACTTCTGTGGCATGGCCCCACAGTGGTCCCAGTTGAACTTGTACAGGTAGGACTGGTCCTCGTGGGCTTCCTGACTGGTGTTGGCAGTGCAGCAGGCATTGTCCTTCCAGAGGACACACTGCACCAGGGCAGCCAGGGCTCAGCTGGGACCCACTAGGGCTCAGCTGGGACCTACTGGGGGTCCAGGGAAATCACCAGCACCCTCAGGGAGGTGACACTGGGTAATGGAGCCCATGTTGGGCTACAGACGCCCCCAGGGTCCATCCTAGTGACCCCACAGCGAGTGACACCAGTGGGTTGCTGCAGCAGTGGGTAAGGACCGTACCTGCCCGTAGAGCTGCCCCTCAGGGCCAGGCTCCGTTTTGTGGTGCTTGGCGTCCATGCAGACGTTGAGCAGCGAGTCCCGCGTCACCGTCGCAGCGGTGGCAGCTGGCCAAGCTACCAGCACCAGCAGCGCCAGTGCCACCGCCATCGCTCTGCCGGGGCGGCAGGGGGTGAGGACAGCAGCGCTGAGGGACACGGTGACAGCGGGGACAAAGTTCCTCACCGTGCACGCGGGAGCGCAGCAGCACATGGTCACGGCCAGGGACCACCAGCAGGGGGATGGGGATCTTACCTGGGGGGCACTGGGGGCCGGGGCTCCTCTCGGGGGGACTGCCAGGCTTCAGGTGCCACGAGGTGAGCGCAGCTCATCTCAAAGGTTGTGGCGCGGCACAACCCTTGGCCGCTGATCACGGGGCGTGGGGACACGGCAGGTTCGGCAGCACTGTGGGTACAGAGGAGACGGGGCACCGCGCCCCGATGCCCCGCTGTGTCCTGGGCTGACCCTCGCTCCCGGCCCGGCCCCCCCAGCCCTGCAGGGAGCCAGGATCTGTCCTTCTGGCGCCAGGCTGGGGCCAGCACCAGCCAAAATCTACCCGTGGCTGTTTTTCCATCCCTCCCGTGGGAGGCGGCTTCATGCTCTGACTCCAGCTCGAGGGACAAGACCTCCCCGACACCGCAGGGTCCCCATGACTGTCCTGGGGGGTAAGAGATGGTCCCCAGGGGGGAGGACAGGTACTCCCGTGGGGTCACAGATGACTATATAGGGTGGGAGCAGGTACCCCTCACCGGCACCATAAATACTCCAGATGGCCCTTGGGGATGTTGGGTAGATACCCTGAGGGGACAGTCATCCATGGTTCAGGGGGTCACAGAAACCCTCTAGTGTCAGATATGCCCCGGGGGGGGGGGGGGCAGATACCCCGGAAGGGGCAGATACCTCCAGGTTCACACATGATGGGGGGGCCAGACATGCCCCTGGAGTCACAGATGTCCTGGAGAGGGGGGCAGATACTCCTGGGTGGGTCATAGGTACCCTGTGGGGGTCATGGATCCCCCCCACAGATGACAGTTTCCCCCAGAGAAACAGATACCCCATAAGGATCACAGATATGCCCTCACTGGTGTCGCCCCCAGCCATGGGGGTCACATACCCACCATTAGTCACAGATACCCCAAGGGGGGCACAGATACCCCCACCCATGGGTAACACATGCCCTGGGGGCGGGCAGATACTCTGTGAGGATCACAGATACCCCATAGGAGTCACACATGCCCCAGAGGGGTCACAGGTATCCCATGGGGCTCACACATTCCCCTTGAGTCACAAATACCTGTGGAGGTCACAGATACCCCACTGGAGTCACAGATGCCCCCAGGGGGTCACAGGTGCCCCACTGGGGGTCACAGATGCCCCCAGGGGTGTCACATATCCCTGGTGGGGGGTCATGGATACCCCATTGGGGTCATAGATACCCCCGTGGGATGTTCCATGTCTCCGGAGGAGTCACGGATGCCCCCGGGGGGGGTCACATATACCCGGGGGTGGTCACAGATACCCCCAAGGGTTACAAATCCCCTAGTTGGTCACATATCCCCCTGTTGGGGTCCCCGTTGGGGTCACGGATGCCCCAGAGGGGGTCACATATCCCCCCCAGAGGTGTCACACATACCCCCATTGGGGTCCCATGTTCCCCGCTGGGGTCACGGACGCTGCGGGCCCGGTCGCGCGGGGGGGGGGGCGGAGCCCCCGCCTGTCAATCAGAGCTGGCTCCGCCCCAGCCCGACTCAGCCCCTTGTGGGCGTGGCCTCGCCGGACACACCGCGCATGCGCCTGAGCTGGTTCCGGCGCGGCGCTTCCGGGTGGGCCCGGCGCGGCCGCGGGGCGCCCGCCATGGCCACGCTGTTCCCGTCGCTCCTGCCGCGCCTCACCGAGCCCCTCTGGTTCAACCTCGACCGCCCCTGCGTGGACGAGACCGAGCTGCAGCAGCAGGAGCAGCAGCACCAGGCCTGGGTGGGCCTCAGGTGTGGGGAGCGGGGAGCGAGTTTGGGCCTGGGGGTCTGAGGAAGCGCCCCAGAGCGGGCACGGCCTCGGGGCATCGCGGGGTTCCGGGGCACGGGGCTAACGAACAGGCTGGTACCGAGCCGGGGCTCCTGCAGAGCCCCCGCTGTTTAACCGATCGTCTCCCGGGGGAGGCCGAGGCCGGTCTCTGACGCCGGTAACCCACAACGCCCGCGCCGTGAGCGTGGTTCGGTGCGGCGGCGTTCCCGAATCGGGGGTGGGGGGAACATCTACTTAGTCAAAATTTTTAAAAAAGCAGTCTCTCGGTGATTAAGTTATTATAATTAAATAAAACAGCTTCAATAATTAAAACCCCAGCACCTGGGAGAGGTTTCCAGTCCCTCTGGGTGGGAGGTCCTGCTTATTTTAATTGAGCTTTAATTATCTGCTGCGGGTGTGTTAGTCTGGCTGAACAGATGCCTAGAGTTTGGTTCTTTTTTTGATAAAAAAATAGATAAGCTTAATGTTTGAGCTTCTCATGTCACATATGGGGACACCCCCAACCCCCTCACCCCCAGGGTGTCCTTGCTAGGGAGTACAGGCAGCTGCCTGCAGCTGCTGTTCCCTGCCTGTCCCTGGCATGGGCAGGGGGATCCCAAGGGGGGCAACAGGGCTCCTTGGGCAGCTGCCAGCTGCGAACAGCCGTGGGCAGGGAGCAGCAGGAGTCAGCAGCTGAGTGGGGAGCATGCGGGGTGTCCCAGAGCTGCTGCGGTGCTCACCCGCCTCTCTGCCCTCCCAGCTGCAGAGCATTGCTGAGAAGGACAACAACCTGGTGCCCATAGGAAAGCCAGCATCCGAGGTGAGTGTGTGGGCAGGGAGCTGGGGCGGTGCCGGCGGGCGGGCAGGGCCCTGCAGCTGTTGTGTCCACAGCACTACGACGAGGAGGAGGAGGAGGATGATGAAGACGATGAAGACAGCGAAGAGGACTCTGAAGATGACGAGGACATGCAGGATATGGATGAGATGAACGATTATAATGAGTCTCCTGATGACGGGGAGATCAATGAGGTAAATAGCAGGGCTGGTGGCCCCACTGGAACCCCAGAGCAGGGGATATGCAGCGTGTGGGTGCCTGAGCTGAACCTTGGAGCATTTTTCCTCTCCTCCACCTCCCTCTCCTGGGTCCCTGCTCTGGTGTGGGATCTCTAATCTCTCCCTTTCCCAGGTGGACATGGAAGGGGCAGAGCAGGATCAGGACCAGTGGATGATCTGATTCTGCTACGACCAAACAGGAGCTGGGGAGAGCCCTTGCCCCCCACAAGGGCAGGGGAGCAGGTCAGTGAAGCTCCTTCTGCCATGGGTGCTGTGTGGGGGCCTTGGAGCAGGGGAGCCGGAGGAGTGGCTGCCACCTGGCACATCGGGGCTGACATGTCTTTTCTAATAAACTCACTTTACAAGAAAACCCCAAATCTGGTGTCTCGGGCCACCAGGGCAGGCAGGGGCAGCCATGGGGGTGCCATGTGGGCAAGTGCAGGGCTGCTCCCCACCACGCTTCCTCGGGCCCTCTGGCAGAGCTCCCTGCACGGGCACAGGGGGAAGCCATGTGAGCAGGAGCTGCTCGGGAAGCAAGCCCCCTTTTTCCCCCAGCACCCCCCCTACAGACCACAGCAGCCAGCACGTTTCCTGCAGAGCCTGTGTTGTGGCCACTGTGGGCAGTCGGTGCCCGTGGCAGTGTGGGGCGGAGCTCGTGGCCCGGTCAGCGGGCGCTGACGTAGCGGAGCTCGGCGATGCCATCGGGGATGGCGCGGAAATACTCCAGGCTGGCGCGGTGCACCTTGCAGCGGTACCTGCCACAGGTCTTGGCGTACTGCAGGAAGTGGGGCGCCCCAGGGAAGAGGACGTTGTCGGCCAGGATGGTGGCCCCCTCAGCCAGCAGCTGGTGGCTCTCCAGCAGCCGCAGGTCCCGCAGGTAGCAGCGCTTCCAGTGATCCATGAAGACAAAGTCGGCCTTCATCATGCCGTGCTTCTCCCGCAGTTGGGGGATCACCTCCTCTGAGGGGCCCACGATCAGCTCCACCTGCGCCACAGCACTCTCAGCCCCTGGAGTGTTGCGTCCGGGTGCCCACCCACCACCCTGCTTCACAGAGTGGTGAGGGGTCCATGTGGGAAAGAATCTTTCTCTTCTCACAGATACCTCCCAGCAGGTGCCATGGTCCCTGCCCGTCTCTGCCCCGGTACCAGGCACAGAGCTTTTGCCCCAGTGCCCGGGCACTCACCGTGTGCTCATCGAAGCCGGCCAGGCGGATGACTTTCTCTGCCACGGCAGCGTGCTGGGGATCCCCCTCCACGGTGTAGAGGCGGCCGCCCGGGGGCAGCCCCTGTGCCAACAGCACAGTGCCGTAGCCACAATAGGTGCCTAGCTCCAGCACCCGCAATGGTGCCCGCTCCAGCAGCAGCCGCTCCACGATCCTCCCTGACACGACACGTGTCTCTCAGCACCCACAACGACAACCGCAGCCGTGCCAGTGGGGCTGTGACCTCACCAGCACTGTCACGGCCACGTCAGTTGTGTCATTGCCACAGCAGCAGTGCCGTGGCTGCGCCAGAGGTGCCTCGCCTGGTGCAGCCTGCATGGGCAAGGGTGGCACTCACCTTTGGCAGGCCCCACGCAGCTGAGGTGCTCACAGTGGTAGCACCACTGGTCGAAGGTCTGCAGGATGTGGTGGGGGTCCCCGGGGATGGCGTGGGCCAGCAGGTACTGGAAGGCTCGCTGCTCCCGCGGGATGCCAGTGAGCCGGTCCCGCAGCCAGGCCACCAGCACGGCCCGGTACAGCAGCACCAGGTAGTGCCGGTACCGGATCAGCAGGGTGATGAGGAAGGGGAGGAAGGCCAGTGCAATCGCTGGAGACACCATCACAGGGGAGCCAGGCTGGGGAAAGAACCCCCACCCAGGGAATATGGGGGTGGGGTTCTTCAGAGGGTGCCAGCCCCACAGCTCCCACTCTTGACAACATGAGGTGTCTGTGCTCTGCACACCCTGGAAATGTTTCTCCTTGGGCTCTGGTGCTGCTGGGCAGGCAGGGCTGAGGCACCCTGGGACGCTGTGGGGGTCCCTATGCAAGGTCTGAGGGGTGCTGGGGACCAATCTGCTGTGGTCCCAATATTTGAGTCTGCAGGACTGGTGGTGTGGGTGGAGTTGGGCTGCTCTAAGGGGCACTGTCCAGCACAGCCCCTTGTATCCCTCCTTGGCCCAGGTTTGCTGCCCTCACCCCCCCATATCGTGCACCCCACACTCTGCTCCCCACACCCTCAGCTGCTGGGGGTCCCCAGACATAGCAAGAGGACAGGGACGTGGGAGTGGCACCTACCTGTCCCCACACTCCAGATAGGCTCAGGCAAGCACTCTTGCATGGGGCCCTGCTGCCACTCAATTATTGATGGTGTCACCTTAGCTGCAGCCACCACTGGCTCGGGTTACCAGCTCAGTGGGGCCAGGGCCGGGCTAGGTCTGCGGGGTGGTCCTAGGCTGCAGGATCAAACCTGGGCCTGGGATGCTGATACAGTGTCAGCTGGGGTCCTGACACTAGTATCTGGGGTGCCAATACTGGAGCTGGGGTCCCCAGACTGGGGGCTGGGGCCCCAGTACTGGCATGCTGATACTGGCAGCTGTGGACCTGCTACTGGAGCTGGAGTCCTGTCACTGGGACTGGGGCCTGATACTGAAGCTGGTGGGGGGCAACACTTGGGATTGGGATCCTGATACTGGAGCTGGGGTTCCTGATAACGAGCTGGGGCTGGGACCACTGGGAGCAGTGGAATCAGTGGAAGCACAGTGGCATGGGGAACATGGGGGTACTAAGAGTATGGGAACACTGGGAGCACAGGGGCACTGGGAACAATAGGATCAGCAGGAGCACTAGGGCACGGGGAACGTGGAGGCAGTAGGAGCATGGGGACGCTGGGAACAGTGGGATCGTAGGAAACGCTGGGATCACCGGGGCCATTGGAGGCGACTGGGGGAGCACTGGGCGCCTGCACGTGACCGCGCGCGCAGGGCCGCGTGACGCACGCACGCGCGAGCACCGCCCCCTCCACGTGACGTGAGCGCGCGCGGCCTGTGTCCCCGTCCCCCGGTCACGTGGGCGGGTGACTCGCGGTCACGTGGGCGGCGGGCCGGGCCGGTGCCGCGCTCGCCATGGGCTGCTGCTACAGCAGCGAGGCCGAGGCCTCCGACCAGGTGGGGACCGGGGCCCGGGGGGGGGCGGCGCCGCCAGGGAGCCTCGGCCCGGCTGCCCCGGGGCTGCCTGCACCGGGGGGACCGGCGGCGTCTGCCCCCGGCAGGGCCCGGCCCTTCCCCGCTCCCGGAGCAGCCTCCGAGCGCCCTCCCGCTTTCGCCGCCCCCGTGACACTCTTCCCTCGCGTGTGTCGCGCCGCCCAGGGTTCCCTGCTGCAGGAGAAGGAGGCGGCTCGGGGGTCGTGCCAGAGCATCCCTCGCCCCGTTCCCCCGTCCCACTGCCGGGGCGAGCGCAGGGCCTGGGCCGGTGCGGAATTGGGACCGTCACCTGTCCCGCGAAACTTAATCCCCGGGCGCGGTTCAGGCTCTGCCCGTGCCTTGCCAGGGAGCTCGGCCCCGTCCGCGGGGAAGCGTGGCCGGCCGCTGGGCCGTGGTGCTCCCGCGGGGAGGGAAGGACGGGCCTGGGCCAGAGTATGGCAGCGGCAGGGCCCAGCAGAGGAGGGGGAGAGGGAGCTGCTGTCCGGGCAGGAGCTGGAGATGTCACTGACTGGAGGAATGGTCGTGCTCCCAGCTCACCCCACGTCACAGGCTGAGCATATCCTCTCGAGACAGGACAGACAGGGAGAGGCCAGAGTGTGTCCAGAGGACAACAGAGCTGGGGAGGGGTCTGGAGCACAAGTCTGATGAGGAGCAGCTGAGGGGGCTCAGCCTGGAGAAAAGGAGGCTGAGGAGGGACCTTCTTGCTCTCTGAAACTTCCTGACAGGAGGTGAGAGCCAGGTGGGGATCAGGCTCTGCTCTCAGGAACAAGGGACAGGAAAAGAGGAAACGTCCTCAAGTTGTGCCAGGAGAGGTTTAGGTTTGACGTTAGGGTAAATATCCCTGAAAGCGGGGTCCAACCCTGGCGGAGCTGCCCAGGGCAGGGGTGGAGTCCCTGTCCCTGACAGGATTTAACAGACATGTGGATGTGGCACTTGGGACATGGGTTAATAGTGGCCTTGGCAGTGCTGGGGGAATTGTTGGACTCAATGGTCTGATTTTAATGATTCTGTGATCCTGCTCTCCTGGGTGTTTGTGCCCATGGTCTCTCTGCTGGCCTCTTCTCCCCTGTGGTGCTGCTTGACCAAGCCAGAGGATTAAGGCCTGAGCCACAGCTCTGCACCCCTGGACTGAGTGGGGGGATGTGCCCTGTGACTCTGGAAGCCCCCCACCCCCTACTGTCTCTAGGCTGTGGTAGGTGGAGCTTACCTGGCCCAGATGAGCCCCCGGCTATGCCGGGTGTGGAGACCAAAGGCTGGTGGGATTTCTGCGGTGCCTGGTCGGGGGGTGAGGCCGCTGTAGGTCCTCGATAGCTGACAGGTTTTGGGCAGGTCAGTGCTGGCCATGGGCTCCTGCCTGCAGGGTTGGCCCCTCCAAATGTGCTGCCGCACACTGCCTGATTTCAACCACACTTGGTCCCTTTGTGGCCGTGGGGGCTTTAACTGGAAAAAAGCAAAGGAATTGGGGAAGAGGAGCCTGGCCATTGCCTCGGCAGAGCTGAGGCTGTGCCAGGTTACACTGGGGTGCACGGGAAGCCCTCCTGACAGGTGGGCTGAATGGTGCTGGTGTGAGGGGTCTGGGGCTTATTCTCCTCTTGCCTTTTCCTCAGGAAGAAGAGACAAAGCGGCTGCTGGAGCCAGCAGCCAGCCCTCCCAGCAAGGTGCTGAATGGAGCAGAGCAGAGCTACCACAACCTGCCCTCGGCACGTACCGATGAGCAGGCCATGTTGTCCTCCATCCTTGCCAAAACGGCCATGTAAGCCAGGACTGCCTCGGTGCCAGCACGGTGGGGTGGGCAGCACACCCTGGGGACTGCGCTGACCCTGCAATGGGGCACACGGCTGGGCAGCTTCCTGGCTGTGCATCCCAGTGACTAGCCGTAGGTGCTGAGGGGAAGGAGGGAGCTGTGGCAGAGCCCCCCACCTCCCTCTGCCTGCAGACAAACCCCTGCCTTGGCTTTGAGCCCCATGGGGACACAGAGATGAGAATCCAGATGTGAGGTGCCCCTTGGCTGCTGGGCTGGGAGTAGGAGCAGGGCCTGGGGAGCCCCCTGCTCCAAACTGGGATGAGCAAGGTGCTCCATGGGGATGCGGAGTGAGTGGCTGGGGGGGCACCAGCACTGTGTCACCTTCTGGGGAGGCTTCCCCCCAAATGCACAGGGGCAATGTGGAGAGGGAGCTGCATCCAGGCTGAGTGGGAGGGCTTTGGGATGCACATGATGCCCTACCTGGCACACTCACATCCAGCTGGCAGCATTCATGGCATGAGTTTGGCCTTGAGATGTTTATTTTGGGGTGCTGGAGGGTGCTGGATTTTGGCTGCCCTCATCAGAGGATGCTCTGGGATGGGGAGAGAACTCAGGGGGAGCAGTGAGCTTCGCTCTTGTGTCTCTGCAGCAACATCATCGACGTGTCGGCAGCAGATTCCCAGGGCATGGAGCAGCACGAGTACATGGACAGAGCTAGGCAGTACAGGTGGGATCTACCCCTCTCCCTCAGGGTGCCCGCAGTCCCTCACAGCCACGTCCCTGGGCAGAGCCCCAGGGGTTTGGCCTGAGGGGAGCAAACTCAGCACATGGTGGGGCTGCCCTGTCATGGCGAGCAGCATGCAGCCCCATGCCTCTTCTCTGCCCTCCCAGCACTTGGGGGAGGCCCTTGGCACTGGTGGCAGCAGAGCCCAGAACAAAGGGCTCCTGTGTTCACCCGGGCCTTGTGGCAGATGGCAGTGGGCTGGATGTGACTGCTCCTGCTTAAAGGTGTACTTTCAGTAGCTTCCAGCTCTCTAACACAGCAGGAGCTGGAAGTTCCCTCATCCTCTTGCTGTGGGGAGCGAAGAGGGCTGGATGCTGGGAGTGCAGCAGCACTGCTCTCCCCCTCCCTCCCCCTCAGGGTTGCTGGCTGCCCAGGGGCATCACATCCATCTCCTGGGTCTCCCTGTGTCTTGGCATGGTGCTGACACTGCTGCCCCCCTCACAGCACACGCCTGGCCATGCTCAGCAACAACCTGACACACTGGAAGAAGCTCCCGCTGCTGCCGTCTCTGACGAACCAACCGCACCAAGTGCTCGCCAGCGACCCTGTCCCCTTCGCAGACCTGCAGCAGGTGAGCCGGTGTCGTGGTTTTGTCTTGGCTCAATTTATTTTTATACCCCCACATACAATTACTACTAGTTGAGAGAAGGTTTATGCAGACAAAAAGAGACTGAATTAAAAAAAAAGTATGAGTATTTATTATTAACAAACTAAAACTAAAGAATTATATTTACAACAATTCTACTTAAGTAAAAGGTATTATGTATTTATAAAAGATACTTTTCCCCCCAACCCTTTATATCAGTCCAAGGAGGAGAAGCAGTCCTTTTCTGTTCTCAGAATTCCAGCTCTCTCTCTCTCCAGTAACTCTGCAGCACTTTCGTCGCAGTTGGAACTTCTTTATCTCTCTCTGTGTCAGCCTTCAGGGTTGGGCCTACTCCCCTCCTGGGTTAAAACCGAAGGCTGAGGGTTACCCAGGTCCTGAAGGGTCTCCTTCCATAGGCCTGCAAGGGGACACTTGCTTACTATGGATCTTCTTCCACAGGGTTACAGGGGATAATGGTTTAAGAGTTCACCCCTGTTTCCCTATGGAGGTCCCTCCCCATGGGAGAACAGTCCTTGATTGACTTCTCGGCATGGGTCCAGTCTGGATCCCTTACTCGGATCCCAATATCCCACCTGAGCCATTTTCTGTTCCAGCGTAGGTTCTCTCTAGCACTAGCAGCACGGATCCCACACATGGATCCCAACATCCCTACCTGAACTGTTTTGTGTTCCAGCGTAGGTTCTAATACCCGTCAGGGTCATAAATCTTCAACAGCAGCAGCATGGATCTCTCACTGAGATCCCAAGCTTATCTGAGCCGTCTCGCTCCAGCATAAGCATCGATTCCTTCGAGGGTCACAAAGTCTTTAACAGGACTCTGCCTCATCTGAGCCGCTTTTACTCCAGCATAAGGCTTTCTCTCTGTTAAAGTCACAAATCTCTGGTGCATCCACAAGCTCCTCTGTGAGCCGCATGGGGGGTCTCTTCACCCCAACAAACTTTTACAGGTGGCAGGGATTTTATTTTTCAGTCTTTACCCTGCTGAAGGGAGGGAGAGCGAAAAGGAGAAAAAGCAGCTCTCCCCCCCTTTGAACTTTTCTTCTCTCTTCTGCGACTGCAGCTTTGACCTTGGAAGTTTTCTTATCTCATGGCTGGAATTCTTCTGCAGCGGTTTTTCATCTAAGCAGTTCGTCTTTTAAACCTTTTTTTTCTTCACTCTCTCACAAGAGAGAAGGGAGGTTTCAGTGCTGCACTTGCCCCCCCCGGCCCAAGCCGGGGAGGAGGGGGCCTTGGCCCTCCTCGGGCCCACCGCGTCTCTCCTACATGGCTGCTGCTCCTAATTTCAACTGCGCCACCACCTTCTCTTCCGTTTTCTTAAAGATGTAATTAGCAAAGGCGTCACTGAACTTTTTGATTGGTTTTTTATCCGGAAATCACCTGGACAAAACCATCCTCAGCCCTAGGGATGGGCTGGTGGGCAAAACCACGACAGCCGGGCTGAAGTGAGCCCTGGGAACCCGCAGTGTTCCCCATCCTGGAGAAGCAGCATTGCCCTCCCTGCTTGCCCAGAGCCCTGGCAGGACTTGTCAGTGCTGCCTTGTTAGCTGACTTGTTACGAGTTGTTAGGTTGTTAGTGCAGGTCAGGTTTAAGGCCTCAATACAGCTGGGTGCAAAGTCCAGGGCAGGTTTAGGACTTGTTAGGGCTGGGGCCTATCCTCCTGCGACGGGTTCTTCAGGATAACCGGAAGTTGCAGGAGCCGCTGGTGACACAGCCTTTGTGCCTGCAGGTGTCCCGGATAGCTGCCTATGCCTTCAGCGCACTCTCACAGATCCGCGTCGACGCCAAAGAAGAACTGGTTGTACAGTTTGGCATCCCCTGAGCCTGCCTCCAGCACTGCCGCTTCACCGCTTTGGGTTGTTCTGGGGTTTTTTTCCCATTTTTTTCTCTTTATTTCCCTTCCCTCCTCATGGTGCTGCCACAGAACTTGGACAGATACCCTGTTTCCTACCAAATGCCAAGACACCCATCACCGGCACGTTGAGCCCACCTGAAGTTGCTCGAGGCTTTCTCCTCGTCATGGGTGGGTGTGTGTGGGGAGGGGGCTGTGTCACCTGGACGCTGACTTGCACAGGGATGAGCACAAAGGGAACAACTGGCATAAGGAGGCCCCAGTGCAGGTCAGCACCGTGTGCCACGTCACCAGGACAGGTGGGCTGGAATCAGGTGGATGTCACGCTCTGCACCGGGCCTGGTGGCTCTGACACCCTCCCTGCTCATTTTTACATGTTTAGACCTTTATTTTGGGTGGTTTTGTTTGTTGGGTGGTTGTTTTGGGTTTTTTTTTTGGGTTTTTTTTGGTTGGTTGGTTGGTTTTTTTCGTTTTGTTTTTTTTTTTTAATTATTGTTTTTCGCCACAGTAGATAAAACCGTATTCATCCAATACCTGTCTCCACTGTTCTCTGCTGGCCGCAGCATGGATGTGGTGGGAGAGCCCAGGGGGAGCCTGTGTCATGGTGGGGAGGGGACACACACATCCCACTGTCCCTTGCCACCATGATGACCCCTGGGGCCAAGAGGATGTCCCTGGGTAGAGGACGTGTGATGACCCACCCTTAAGGGGAAGGAAGCACCTAAGGTTTTTAAATGCTCATGCTTAAAAGGAACAACAAAAGTCAAAGGGTCTGCAAACAATCAGAAAGTTTTATTAGTAAATGACAGATTTGGCATAGAAATTGGGGGGTATGTTTCTATGGACAGGTTTCCCCACCCTAAAGATGGGTTTCTGTCTTTCTATGCAAATTAGTTATCATGCACAATCTGTTCTTTTAGGCCTTTCTGGAAGTGAGTTGTAGGGCTTTGGGGGTCTTTGGTGGTCCTAATCCCCTTTGTATAGTCCATTCCTACTTTTTGGTCTCACTCCTGTACTTGTGCTGTAGTGTGTTGTACTTACCTCCAGGAGCTGCGGCAAGGATGTTTGTCCCAGAAAAGTGCTGCCCTATCTCCACCTGTCCGCTTCTCCAGCCACATCTTACTCTTTCCCATGGCGTGTTAATATCAGTAGTCCTTGGTTTGGCTCCACAGCCATCCAGTTATCAGTGCTTGAGACATAACATGTTAGCCTCTTCTGGGAATCAAGAGCTCAGTGGGTCTCAACGTTGGACCCGTGTTTATAGGACTGTTAGAGAATGGGCTTTAGCCGTTGTAATTTTCCATCCTGGCCACAGCTGGTGACCTTCAGTTGAGGACCTTCAAAAGTAACAAAAACACTAACAATAACGGCCCGTCTTCGCGAGCGAAGATCCGGGAAAGGTCTTTTACACCTTCCAGCCTGCGCATTGGATTTTTTAGGTGAGACACAGTGTGCGCGGAACTGAGCCCACCCTTTAATCCTAAGGTTCATCTGCCGGGGCCAAGCGAGCTTGGACGGTGGCAGTGAGGTCCTTAGGACGTAGGTGGGTTGCCTTTAAGGGCTAAAAAAAAGAGCCCCACCTGCCCGGGAGTGGCCCTGACCGGGAATCGAACCCGGGTCTCGGCGGTGACAGCGCCGCGCCTTTACCACTGGACCACCAGGGGCTCCTGTTAACAAAAACACTACTCCAGCAGGAAAAGTAGGTTTCCAAGGCTGTTTACAAACAGATGCTTGTTAGACACCTGTTAGATCCTGGGAACCGGCTATTCCTGAGAAACTGAAGAGAGGCTTAGCCCAGGTGCCGTTCATTAAGGCTGAGACTTAACTAGCATTTCTCAGATCATAGTGTGGCCTGGATGGTGGTGGTGAGGCACTACTGCAATCCACACAATGACCAAAGTCAACTTTTCTGGGCCTCTGCAAGATGATGTAGAGCTGTGAGCACAGGGACGAGCCCAGGAACCCCCCCAAGCAAGGTAAGATCCTGCTAGTGGGTTAGGGCATGGTTGGGGGCTGGTGAGGACCCCTGCCCAGCTGGCACTGCAGGGCAGAGTTGGATGCCTGCACGTGACACATCCCCAGAGCCCCGCAAGTGTCCCCTGACACACCGTGGGCTTCCACATACTCCTTGCCCTGCCTGTGGTCCCACACACTCCCCTCCACGGGCACCCCAAGGCCCCTCGTGTGTCCCCACTTCGGAGCGGGGGCCTGAGACCCACACCCCCACGGCTGTAAGTGTGTCACCATACCTTCACGGGAGCCTCTTCCCTACCCCCCCACACGTGGCCCGTGTTTCCCGCAGCCCCACGTGGGTCCATGTCCCGCCGCCGGACCCCGCGATTCGCGCTCCGCCCGCGCACGTGACGCGCCCCGTCGGGCGGCGGCCAATGGGGGGCGGCGGCCAATGGGGAGGGGCGGCCAATGGGGAGGGGCGGGGGTAAACACTGCCGTTCGAACGAGGCGGCGGATTCAGTCCCCATCCCGACCCCGACGGCTCCGGACGCGGCCCCGGACACAGCCCCGGCCCTGGCGGCGGACACGGTAAGGGGGGTGGTTACCGCTGGTTCCGTGGCAGCAGGCGGAGGCTGTGCCAGGCGCGCCCCGCCGGCCGGGAGTCCCGCGGCTTCCACAGCCTCCGCCTCCGGCCGAGCTCAGCGGAGGCCCCCTCCCTAAGGACGGGGGGACCCGGACGGAGCGCGGGGTTTCAGGCTGGTGTGTTTTCGAATGCCCGGCTCTTGGCATTCGGCGGTCGCGTCCCCCGCGGGTTTCTCTGCTGCCCCAAGCGCCGGTTAGAAAGAACCTTCTCCTTGTGCCGTTCCTGTGCCGTGTTCAGGGTAGCCCCATCTTGCAGCTCCCAGCTTCCTCAGGTAACCCGGGCGCTGCGGGGATGGCTCCTGAGGGTCTCCGAATCGGCAGCGAGGGGTGAGCGTCGGCCCCCGCCACCTCCAACTGGGGACCCGGCGGGCCCGGCTCCCGCTGAATCCGTAGCCGCAGGGTGTGTGCGTATCGGGGGCAATTTTTCAGGGGCCAGCTGGGATGTGACTCTATCCTGGTTAGCGGGAGACGTAGCGCCAGGGGCCCTTCCCTCCTGAGCCCCCGGCTTTCTGTGAGCTGCTCTGGGGCCCGGAGCAGGTCTGCGCCGGCCCCTCCGGCTCTCTATCACCCAGGGTCCGGGCAGCGTGACGGCAGTGAGTACATCCATGGCCGCGGTCGGTCGGTTCCCCTTCCCCACGGCCGGGGCCGGACGGTTCCCGCTGCCCGTGTCCGCTCCCGCGTCGCCGGAGCTGCGTGTGCCGTGCGCCTTTAACGAGCGCGGCCTCGGCGCGGTGACGTGGGGTGGCCCCGGGCCAGGAAGGGGAACCGCCGCCTGCCAGCCCCGCCGAAGAGAAGCTCAACAACTTTTCTTTTGTGCGTGGCCGCTGGCTCCGCGGCCCTCCCTGGCTGCCAGCGCTCATGGCAGATTAACCCCAGCGCGCCGACGGCGGCCGCGCGCCCCCGGTAAGGCCCCAACAAAGACTTTATCCCTCTTCCTTGTTTGTTTTCCACGGGGCTGGCGAGGAGGAGGGGGAGGGAGGCGCGGCGCAGCTCAGCTCAGCTCGCCGTCTCCCAGCTCCGCCGCCTCTCCGCACCGTGCGGCTCCCGCCCGGCTGCCCAGGAGCCCCCGGCGTGCGGGTGGCGGGGCCGGGTCGGCGCCGCCGCCATCCGGGCGCGGGTGCGCGGCCGTTCCCCCCACCCCGCCGCCGTCTCCTGGGCCCGGCCCCGCGCAGGGTCTGCCGCGGGCCGCTCAGCCTGCCCGGGCGAGCTGCTGGGTGCTTCCTGCAGCCGGAGCCCCGGCCTGGGGCAGGCGGGGGGCTGCCTGCGCGTCCCCCGGCCGGGCTGGCGCGGCGGGGTCCGCGGGGCGCGGGCTTGCGTAACGCGGCGCTGTGACCAGAGCGGCAGAGGACAGTGCCGCCCTCCCGCCGCCCCGCGCTGAGCCCTCCTCGGGGCGCTCACGGCGCTGCTCTCCAGCCACTGCCCGCCTGCCGTCACGAGTGGCACGTCCTCACTCAGGGTCATGGCGTTGTCTCTGATGCTCAGCGTGGCTAGTGCCACCGATGACGAGCCAGCGGACAGCCCTGCCCGTCCAGATCTCACGCCAAGCACCGGGATGTCTTTTACTGGGCTCCAGTAAAACCCATCTCGGCTCTGGCAGAGCATGGCCCTCTCCGGTGGGAGGCTGCATCCAGGGCTGCATGTGTACTTTGCCCACTGTCTTCGGGTGGATTTTTGGGGAGAGGTCCTGGCTGTGCCCCCAGATGGAGGGACTATGGTGCAAGAAGCTGTGCTTTAGCCAGATTGGAAGAAGGACCTGTCCTGCCGATGACCCATGCTTTCCAGCTGGGCTGATGGCAGTGGGAGCTCTGGGGGCCCCAGAGCCACCATGACTGGTGCCCATGCTGTGCTGGGCACTCCCAGCAGTGGCGACAGATCCAGGCCCGTCATAGTGGAGGTGTCCAGGTGCAATACAGGGCAAGGAGCCCCCCTCCCCATCTGGGTGATTTTTTTGGCTCACAGGAGTTCCCTTCCCAGGAAAATTAGCAGAGTGGCGCCAGGGACGGGCAGTGCAGAGGCAAAGGTCACTGTGAAGGGGACCTGGCAGTGATCCCATATCCTCGGGATGGCGGGGCAGCTTTTCCCTGCTCCCACCCAGTGCAGCGATGCCCGGGGAGCTCCCCGTGCCCTCAGCAGGTTGTTTTCCTTTTACTGGCAGCAGTGAGAAGGGGAGCTGGCAGTGCTCCAACAGCTTGGCTACTGCTTTGCTGGGCTTATTTGGGCCCAGGTGACCTTTGCCAGTAGCTTCCAGCCGCAGTGGCTGTGTCCCGGCCAGGGGGCAGAGGGCAGCCTTCTGCCCTCTGAAGGTCCCAGCAGCTGGAGTGGTGGCAGTTGGGGCAAGAGAGCCCCTGTTCTTGGGCTGCTGGCATTTGGGTGGCCACACAGCGGGGAGGAAGCCAGAGCAGGTGTGCGCAGTGGCATAGTGGGAGCTCAGTCCCCTCCTGGTGGACAGGGCCAGATTTTGGTGCTTTGGACCACACCGTCATTCCCTAAAAGCTGCTGCTTGTGTTTTCTGGAGGGAGGTGAGTTTTCCTGGGATGCTGATGGTGCCAGCAGAGATGCTGATGCTCAGCTGTGACCAGCAGCAGGGAGAACACTGCCAGGCCCTGTGCCAGGAGCTCACTAGGACTTTAAATTTCTCTTAAAAGAATTGTTAGTGGCATATGGGGCCGACAGGGAGGGAAGGAGGCACTCCTGGAGGACAAGGAGCCTGAGCGGCGGTTTTCCGTTGACCCCTTATCAGGGGAGTGTAGGAGTGGACATGGCTGCTCTGGGCAGTGCTGCTCCCTGCTCTGCTCCTGTGGAAAGCAGGGGGTTACTCCCCCACAGCCAGCCAGGCTCAGCGGCACGTCCTCCCTTAACGGACATGAATGCCTGGTGCTGGGTGCAAATCATATAGAAATGTAATTGCTATGTTTTACATTTCTTTTCTTCCCCAC